ATGGGAGCGACGGCGCCGGCCGCGCATGCGAGTTACCCTGTTTCGACGTGGACCACAACTGCTCCAGCTCAGCCGCAAATGTAACTTCGCCGCGCTACCCTCCTATTTTCCCTTATTTCTCCCTTTCTATTTGTTTCGTACACCCTTCCTATGATTACCCCGTTTCCTTTTCTCTTCACATTATATCTCTGAGGGCGGCGATTTGGGGATAGATTCTGCATGCACGGTATGGATGTTTACCCGGATGGAATTCTGCTCTTAGAGAAGATACCGGAGGCTGTTTCTTTCATGTTTTGCTGTGTTGTCTTCTACGACGATATGATACACATCAAAATCTTTTCGTGCTTAGCCAATTGTGATCTTTATTCTTTTCTCCTGCACTTGTTCGGAGGGTCCTTCATTCGGGTTCAGTTGCGCTGTCTTCTACATGATTATGAGCAATGTCGCGGTTTGGGTGGTTCGGTCTGGGTGGTTATCTGTTTTTTTTTTTTTTTTTTTTCTTTTTCTTTGGTCTCCGTTTTCAGTCCCGTTCCTGCTTTGCTAAGCTATTATATCCTTATTGCTCTTTTACGGAGAGAGGCTCTAGGTGTATACGGGAGCTGAGAGAATCCTCACAGGCCGATTATAAGCCAGGTCACATTGATATCTTTTGCCTTTGCTCTGATAGGTTGTATTCTGGTCTACCAGGGGAGGTTATATCATACTGTCAATAGTCCAATTAATCGCCCAGCCCCATATTCCTGGTGCTGAAACAAAGGTGCTACGTGCCATGTCTCCATTCCTTGCATGTAACATCTCGAGAGAACGAATGGATTACATCATCACTACTGTTCGAACTTTCCTTACCAGACTCTGACTGCTGCTTCATGATCGTCTGTATTTCTTCGTTCGACGTTGAAATACGATGCTTAGTGTGTACTAGACCGCAGTCTAGAAAACCTTCATTTTTAATCCTCAAGGATAGACGCGGGAGGTAAATTGAATAGGCCATTGCCAGATCCACCACTAACTAGGGCCCCGGTCCGCTGTCCGCACACAGTATCTAATTTATGGTCCAGAGATGCTGTCGTCTAGGTAGTCAGAATGAAACAATCTTTCGCCCATGGACTCGTCGGCCTAGCACTAGCACTACCGGAAATCAATTTGCGAAACTACATTCTGAACTTCGTGTCTTTTTTTTTTTCTGTCTATGACGGGTACAGTACGTGACATAGCCTGCTTGCAGTTGCAGATCAGTCGCTGGTGGGCCGATATGTCCCGTAGCCCGTCGGGTCTGCGTCAGCGAATCAGGGATGCTTGGGCCGGGGAGACGCGGATCAGAAGAACCCCACTTTTGGGACCTTGATTGGTGGGACCGGTTATCTGCTTGGCTACCTTGTTGCCTTACGTAGGCAGGCGTCTTATGGTAGGTAGGTACTTCGCACTATTTCGCAGGGTGTGGTGATCATTCCATTCCATTCGAATCGAGGTACGTGTGTGCTGCGCCTCATGTGACTAGATGGCTATGCGGCTCCCGCGTCGTCACGTCGGTCATGTGAGCGATGTGGAGCTGATATTGACAGAAAGGGGAAAAAAAAGGGTGCATCAGTTAAAACGCCGGTCGGATACTTGGGGGCGCGGTTCCGGGTGATGATCCAGATTCAAATTTAGTCCTTCTCTCGATCTTGTCCTGCGGAGGGTTGTCCGGCGCTGAGGCGGTGCTGGGACAGTCGCTGCTGGCAGTGCAGTCGGGGACTCTCGACGATCGTTGTTATTCCGCTTGGCAGTGCTATTGCCATTATGAATGTCGCTATGGGTGGTGGGTTTGGGTGGGGGACGGCTCCCGCGCAGACTTGACAGGTGCGAGGCCATCTGGTTGTCCATCAGCAGGTGGATGGTCAAGGCGCTAGGGTCCGAGATTAGGGTTCTGCGACGTATTATGGGGGCCGGCTCGCGAAGGGCTGGCGCTGGTGCTGGAGTTGATGTTGTTGCTGCTGCTGCGGCGGCGCCAGCGAGGGTATTGGGGTATGCGAATCTTGCGACACCCCGGATCGGCTCGACTATGGTGCGGTCATGGTTGATGTCTTGAAGGGCGTCGTTGTCGTCTTGCGGAACTCCTCCGTCGGGTGGGATCTGCGTCGTTGTCTGCGTCAGCTTTGTTTCCAATCATCGGGGTTTGGAACTTACAACGGAAGCGAATCTCTTTCCCGGCATGCTCACATAGTCATCAAAGGAACTTTCGAGAGTCGCGAAATTGAATCCTTTCTCTGAGTCGACAGGTTCAAAGCGCTGTCCAACCTCCGATCGGAAGTCCACAGGCCGTCTACTTAAAGGCTGATACTTGGATAACGATAACCACCAGTCCGGGTAGCTGCCGTACCACGATTGCAAGGTCGGCTCGATGTCCAGGGAGAAAACAATGCGGCTGTCTGCGCGCGGTTTCTGGATCAGCATGGCAAACGTGAACTCCCGCGGCAGGCCCGATCTCTGCAGACTGTTCTCTTCCAGCGACCAGACAATTTCCCCGGCTTCGATGTCGAACTTGCGCCCTCGTGGGCTCTTCAGGGTCCGTACTGATCCTTGAATTCTCATCATCTCATAGCGTCTGTATCGGCCATTAATGCCACCGGCGGGTGACAGGCTGGCCATCAGGGGCCAGTCAGCGACTCCCAGTGATCCGGACAGGCTGTAGTTCCACTGCAGTGTCTCTGGCGATATAGCGGCATAGATCAGATGTGGTGCATGCATGAGGAAGCGCGGGTTTCCCGGCGGATAACCATTTGGGTAGTGGTCTGACGAAGCGACATGCCGGGTGCCCTGCACGGAAGCTCGAATCGTGGCCGCCTTGAACCGATGCGCCAAAGTGTTGGGTGAGTGGAAGACGAAATTGATCCCCAGGAAGTCTACGTGGTCATAGTCCTTGTCGGAAACGGCAGGGCTGGAGTAGAATCCATGCTGCAGTCGCTGGACGTGCGCTGTGATGTATGCGTCGCCGGGTAATTGACGCTCGTAGATACATGCTCCGTTGAGCAATAGTCGCGGGTTTGCCAGATTGGGATCTGCAGGCATCTGGGACCCTGTGTTGCTGGTTTCAGGTTTCTTTTGCTTGTTGCCAGGGACGGCCAAGTCGCGAGGCAGCGGTGCACGTGCAGGACCGTTCATGATTGGCATTCCCAGGCTTATTCTTATCGTATCAGGTAGCCAAAAATGGCTGCTGCATGTCAAAGTCCTGTGTTTGAGGTCGCCTTTGTGTCTTGTTGATCCATGAGCGATGGAAGTAGGGATCCACGAACAGCCTGTAAATCAACATCATTAGTTATGAGGTAAGTTATAGACTGTCATATGCAGAGTGCTCTGCTTTTGACTTACTTTGGCAAACTTGAAGGCGAAAACCGAGTTTGTGGACAGATGCTCATGGCTGGAGTCAGGTGAGAAGGGATCTACAGTCAGATGAGAGTCGGACGGATGTGCTACTATGGATATGGTGAATGCGCCAGTGAATGTGTTGCTTCGTTGACCTGAGGGTCAGGCGGAATGCTAATGACTCTTAAACACATTCTATTCTTTGTAAAAATTTAGGAAATAGTATGGATGACTGTTGTATGTCGGAGGTGACCAAGGAATATTCGGAGAATATATCTGTATATATCTCTATTTGTAGAGCAAACAACCCACGGAAGCTCTGAGCCATGGACAGCCGTCATTGAGTCATTTCTTATTTTCATCTACTGACTCTATTTTGACTGTATCAAGTTTGACTCTATCCCAATCTCAATCCCCCATTAGTTTTGTGCAGTTTGCTTATGATTTTCACTTCAGGATTGAGACGAGGCGGGTACACCACGCCCGCACTGATTGCACCTATTCAAATAACTGCCCAGATTTCAAGAGCAAAGAAATAGCTCCATCGTATCCTAGCATACTGAGGACAGTTCAACATCATGATGTTTCGCCCAAAGGTTTACCCCGGATCTCTGTACACAACCTTGAAATATCACATGACTTATGGCCGGAACAACCTTCCTCCGTGCGCATTTTCCTTTCCCCAGACAGAAAAAGGTGGTCACGAGCCTCGGTTTATATACATTGAAACTATTTTCTTTCCTCATTGCGACACAAGCATTCGTGCGGTTTTTCGGGCTCAACAGGGATCCAGCCGGTCTGTAGTTGGCCGCTGTCTGGTCCCACAGTCACCTGTATACCTTCTGACCCGAGACCGCCGTTGAGTTGCTTGGAATCGGGTGATTGACCCGCCATCATATATTCTGGTGATCACTATAAATTCAAAATCGAAGAGATATATCGTTGACCATCCAACTCGACGCCTGAATGGGCCGTCTCTCACTTTTTGTTACATTGAAATTCGCCACAAGATCGCCGACTTTCGTTCCGTCATCGTGCATATTTTTGAATCTGACCTTCATTTGATCGTTGACCCCATAGCATATGGGTTTCCAGTTGACAGCATATTTTGACGGACACATAAACAGAACGCTTAATTGACTATGACATTGTCTCAGCCACTGTATTGAGTGAGGGATATTCGCCAACCGAGACATATGCATTGAACGAGACCTCCGAACAGATCTCAATAATTTTTGCGAAGCGCTTTTCATCTGCTATTTCACTTATCCCATTTCTTGTGCCATTGATTGACAAAGGTCATCATGGCAACTAATACTCTCCTGCCGATGCCCATTCGAGCAATCAGGCAATCTCCAAGTCTATGGAGAGTAACCATGTTTCATCCACTCGGATCGAATTCCGCCACCTGCAGAGGATGGCAAAGCCCCCGGTGGAAGAACCTACACACTTTGACGGTATCCACTCCATCAGCTCGTCCTAGACACATACAAGATAGGTATGCGCATGGACTCTTCAGCTAGATCTTTCATGGAGCCTAACAGTTTGCTAGGTTGGCGAGACACACGAGCTGTATGTTCCGTGCTATCGAGCCTCTATGTGGCCGACCACTTAATCTACAGAGGAGATGGTCAAGCTCAAAAAAGCCGGAGGATCAGATGGAGAATGCCTCTCAAAAGTGAGTATTGATCCTCTGCGTCACGTGTCGGTGCCATTGCAGGCCTCGCATGTGAGTGAGTATCGTCCGGGTGATTTTAACCATGTGTAGGCCTCAAACCGGCTCGAAAAAGTCTCCAATTCTTTCCAAAATTCCTCTTCCTACTCATGAGAACATTTACACCGTTCCCAATATCCTCACATTCTCTCGTCTAGTTGCGGCTCCCTTGGTGGGCTACTTCCTCGTTCATGATCATCATGCAGCTGCACTAGCATTATTTGTCTATGCTGGTCTCACAGATCTTGTGGACGGCTATATTGCCCGACGATATAACCTTCAGACTGTCGTCGGCACCATTATTGATCCAATGGCCGATAAACTGTTAATGACGATTGGTGTTGCTTGCTTGGCCGTCAATGGTTCTATTCCTGGTAAGGCTCCTTCTTCCTCTATGACGCTGTTGTTATCGTCTTTCGAATATCGAAGAGGGGATCGTCCCTATTTCTCCTTGGCAGCTCACTGATCGGGAACAGTATGGCTTGCGGTAATCATTCTCGGCCGCGATGTTGGGCTTGCGTTGTCCGCAATCTACTACCGCTGGATATCTCTTCCCCCGCCAAAGACCATGGCACGATACTGGGATTTCTCCCTTCCCTCCGCAGAGGTCAAGCCAACGGGTATCTCCAAAGTCAACACAGCTTTGCAGCTTGTGCTTGTGGGCTCCGCGATCGCACTGCCTGTGATTCCAGAGGCAGTCCTCGATGCATGGAGTCTCCGAGAAGGAATGACGGCGTTGCAGTAAGTACCGCAGATTCCCTTTGTTTCCCGTCGTTATCATTTTTCACCCTTATTCTTTTGAAATGTGGAAGAGAATGTGAAGGCCCTGCGCATATGGTTGCTGTCGGGTGAAATTCTAGCACGTACGACCATAGGGTGTGGAAAACAGGGCTTCCCGTCCGCTCAGCCGTACTTAAGCCACACGCCGGCCGGTTAGTAGTTGGGTGGGTGACCACCAGCGAATCCCGGCTGTTGTACGTTTTTGCTTTTTTGCGAAATCAGTTTTATCTACATTTCTTCTTCCTTTTTTGTTTTCTCTTGTTTCTTCTTTTGTTAATCTTTCTTTATTATTTGCATCCCATTCTAACTTTTCACCTAGGTACCTCGTTGCAGCCACTACAATCTGGTCTGGGCTCAGCTACGTCTTTTCCAAAGACGCAGTAAAGATCCTCACTAAGGAGGAAATACAGAAGCGCATTGCAAGAGCCAGCGGGAAGAAGTCCTCATGAACTTCGTGCATAGTCTATAGATGGTTCAGGCAAAAAGTGTATGGCTTCGGCGCAGAGCGATTAAACTCAATACGGTCGCCTCCTATGTTTCGTTTGATGTGTTACAGCAAGTTGCGGTAAATATTTGCATAGTTGGAGTGTATATGACTGGCTGATGTACATAGAAAGGGGTAGTATAGACCTTAATATTTGCAAATGAAGCGAAGTGCTATAAGCATGAGGCTTCCCGTTTCTCAATGCTTTTTTTCCGTGGGAGAAGATCGCGTAGCAGCTGATAGAATGACCAATAGATGCGATGTGAGTTCATAGGAGGGGACGATCATATGGCGACCGAATATATGGACAGACTTGATGGCCTTTCGAGTGTTTACATTTGTAAAGCCGGCGAGATTGTTTGCTCACCCTCGTAGGGCTTATGGAAGCATATCCTTCGAGTACGGTTACTCATTAGCGTCGCTCGACATCGTGGAGCTGCCATGCCCTAAATGTGTCCTGGTCACCGACGAAGTGGTCTCCTGGCCACCGTAGGATGCTGCTGGATGGACGGTTCCCGGTTCCGCGGTTATGCCCTCCTACATCAAAGGTCCGGTTCGAGATGCCGACCTTCAGGACAACCGTTCATGTCTTGGCTTGCTGGGTGGGGAACATCGCGTTCCAGTAGTCCTTGACTCGCTGGCATATACCTTCGCGGCCCTCCCAGGTCCGGAACTTGGTTTCGAGCTCGCACGCCGTCCACAAGATCTCCCTCCAGAACTGCTTCTCCACATCCGTGCGGAACTTCCCAATCACCTCTTCGGGGATCGTCCAGGCGCGCGTGTAGCTGCCGTCATCTTCAAAGGCCGGGGTGACGGATTGTTCGTCGAATACCGTAGCGGGGTTGAACTTGGGGTAATTGGCGTGGATGAAGAAAGCGCGGGGCGCGGGCGCTTTGGAGCCGTGCACGCGCCATTCCCCCTTCTGCGTCAGGGCGTAGTCCTCGACGGGGTCGAATTGGACCATTGCGGAGCCGGCCAGGCCGGACTTGGTGCGGTGGCCGATGGCGACGATGGGCTCGCTGACTTGGTAGTACGGTTCGTCCATTGTCAGAGCGGCTGCGACGAAAGTCTCTTTGTCGCCCTCTCCCGCTGCGCCTTGTGACAGCAAGGCCCAGTAGTAATCTGGGCCCCAGAAATTGTAGTACGTGCTCAGGAGTAGCGTTTTCAAATGGGTCTTCTTGGAGATGAGCAGCTCGCCGGATTCGCTCGACTGGCGGATGGTGTTTGGGGGCATCTCCTTCGAAGCGATTTCGTAGTAGTATGACGAGATGGTGTCGGCCCAGAAATCCGGCCATGTGACCATGTTCTTCGACCGGAAGGGCTCGTTCGTGAACAGGATGTCTGGCTTCTCTAGCGGGAAGGCATCGGCGTCCAAGAAGAGGATCTCTTCGAAAGACGAGAACATCATCGCGAAGAGTTTGAACTGGTACTTCTCTATCTGCATGATCTTGGGGACGGCATCGAGAATGTGTGATAGCACCACACATCGGGAATTCAGAGACGGCAGAATCACATCGCATATATACTCCTCATACTCCTCTTCGTTTGCCAAAAAGACTTCCACCGGAAGCTCTGAACCTGTTTTCCGGAGCATTCGAAGAGAAATGACCAGGACAGGCAGGTATGAACCTCCTGCCGTCGAGACCAGGCCTCTTGTGTTGGGGACATAGTGTAGTTGCGGCGGGTTGCTCTTGATATCGCTGACAAACCCGGTATGCGCTTTCTTCATGATCTCCACATCATCCGGTAGCATGTCCAGATACTCCCTTCGGTCTTCCGGTTTCGCTTCCTCGAACCGTATAGACGGCGCATTGCCGAGTCGCATGGGTGGGTCGCATTTCGGCTGATATTTGGCCAAAAGCGGCTGGAACTGCTGCCAGAAATGAATATGACCATCGGTAGAATGTAGGACTACACCACTGTCGCTATCAAGGTAGGAAGGGTTTTTTTCGCCTGACTTGACTGGGACAGATCGCCATCGCGCGAACGACCAGGTTAAGACCGATGCGAGAAATACTGCAAGCAGTAGCGTTCGCACTCGCGAATACATCCGAGGTACTGACATTGTCGTCGAGGTGCGACCGGAAAGACGAGGGTGAGCAGTCGCTTTCGCTGACGAAGCTGACTGATAATCCTTTCCCAGCGAGTGCACCTCGTCGCACAAGATACGGAAGCTCAGGGGCTGTGAAAGTCGTGCGAACCCGACGAGCTAGCACCTGCGATGCCCTGGAAGGATTCTATGTGTGCAGAGAAACAAGAGACATTCGAGACCTATCGCTGTTGTGGAAAAGTGGTAATGCGCTGATGATCAATGCTGGATTGCGGCGTGAAAGAATATACATAGGCGCTGGGCAGCGGGAATGGCATGCAGAAGGAAACGAGTGAGTCCAAGGTAAAGAAAAGTTAGACAGATAGATAACTAGGTTGACATTGCAATGAAGGTGAAGATTAGAGTGCTATATACGTGGCGTAGACTGGGGGTAAGAATAACTGAACGGTTAATTGGACGGGATAAAATAATCACCTCTCAGCTGATGGTCATCATAGAAGAGTCATGGTCCCTCGGCCTGCGGAAAGTCTGTTCGACCCACCACGTTGCTTACGATCATCGACTCAACCATATTACTCTTCTTAAGACTCGGAGAGTTTTCCTTGTTCTAATATTCCGCTTTAAGCTGAATAGTAGATAGAGAAGGGATATATTACGGATTTGGGGATCAGGAATACATGATATGTGTTGTTGTTGAGGCGAGACCTCTGAGAGTATACGGAGTAGAATAACCTTGGTATAGTATGCCACAATGCAATATGCAATGCAAAGATCAACAAGCCCTAGAAATATTTCAGTCGCTGTACCATCCCATGCGCCATGCAGTTTCCCAATAAATGTTAACCCTATGTTAATCGTACAAGCCTCCTAGATGATTGAGCATCACGCTGCTTTCTGCACTCTCAAACAGATCCACGTAACATGCTTTCCGCAGATCCTTCAGTCGCGTCTGCGTCGAGTGCTTCTTTGCTCGTGTCCAAGGTCCTGCGGACGTGCATCAGCAACCTCAGAGCACCCGCTGGCGTGACTCCTTCGATACGCCTCGCCATTCCCACACTAACGGGTCGGACGCGCTCGAGAGCCTGTCTTTCCTCGGTGCTGATGCCCTGAACCTTCGAGTAGTCCAAGTCCGGAGGCAAGATGAGGCTCTCATCCTGCAGGAATTTCCTCGCCATTGCCTCTTGCCGCTTGACATAAGGCGCGTAGCGACCTTCGATGCTGACCCGGGTTCGGATTATGGGGTCGAATGACGCGGATGTGTATGCCATACCTGATGGCGATTCGATGTGGGGGATCAAAGCGTCGATGTCCACACCGTCGAGGCAGAGGAGGTCGAGCGCCGAGCGGACAGAGCTATCCGTCCGAGTTTTGAATCCCTTGCGCGACCAGACGGTAGAAGAAAGTTTCGTGTTGGCGAGGAGGTTCTGCAACTCCTTGATTTGCGCTTCTGTGTCGGTGAAGTAACGCCACCGCTTGTCCGAGACCACTCCAGCGTTACGGGCCATACGGGTGAGTCGCAGATCGGCATTGTCAGACCGAGTCGAGATGCGATATTCGCTTCGTGCGGTGAACATACGATAGGGTTCGGATACTCCCTTTGTGATGAGGTCGTCGATCATGATTCCGATAAATCCGTCCGACCGGGTGAGAGTGAACGGCTGACGGCCTTGAGCAGACAGACCGGCGTTCGTACCGGCAATGATCCCCTGTCCTGCAGCTTCTTCATATCCGGTTGTTCCATTGATCTGGCCTGCAAGATACAGGCCACTGATCAGTTTTGTCTCCAAAGTCGGTCGGAGATTGCGGGGATCGATGTAGTCGTACTCCACACCATAGCCGGGCTGTAGCATGCGCACGTTCTCAAGACCGCGGACCGTGCGTAGCAGGGCATATTGTGCATCTGCCGGAATGGTCATCGAGATACCGTTTGGGTAGATGACCTCATTCGGTGCGAATCCTTCCGGTTCGAGCCAGATCTGGTGCTGTTTCTTATCCGTAAAACGTATAATCTTCGATTCCAATGAGGGGCAGTAGCGTGGCCCTCGCACAGTCTCGCGAATGTGAATTGACTTGTCAAGGTTTGCGCGCACAATCTCGTGTGAAGCCTCGTTGGTGTGGGTCATCCAGCAGGTAAGCTGACCTTCATCGCCCACATCGACCGTTGTGTTGAGATACGAGAAAGGCTGCGGAGGGGAGTCGCCTCTCTGGACTTCCAATGGCGAAAAGTCGATCGTTTTCATATCCAATCGAGGAGGAGTCCCGGTCTTCAGGCGACCAAGCTGAAAACCTGCTTCGCGAAGGGATTTGCTAAGCCCAAACGTAGCCGCTTCACCCATACGCCCCGAAGGGTAGGCTTCAAGTCCGATGTGTATTTCTCCACCGAGAAACGTTCCGGTTGTGATGACAACGCGCCCAGTAGGTATTACCTCTCCGGATTCGAGCCGTACTCCGACAATCTTGCCCTGCGATCCGGGGATGTTCTCAACCCCCTCTTTTGACACCACAATATCTGCAACCTTGCCTTCCACTATGCTCAGCCCTTCGGTAGCGACCAGCTCCTCCTGCATGTATCTCTTGTAGAGATCCCGATCGATCTGAGAGCGCGGACCCCACACAGCAGGTCCCTTGGATCGATTGAGAATGCGAAACATAATACCGGCCTTGTCAATGATTCGCCCTGCCACACCGTCCATGGCATCAATTTCGCGGATCATTGTTCCTTTCCCGATTCCCCCAAAACTCGGATTGCATGAACAAACCCCAATGTTCGACAGCGAGGGCGTAATCAATGCGGTGCGTGCGCCAGATCGAGCGGCAGCTGCAGAGGCCTCGGAACCAGCGTGGCCTCCTCCGATAACGACGACATCGTATGCACTACATGCCTAGAGTCAGTACCAGTGCAGAGACGACTAGGATAAAAGTGATGGGAAAAACATACCGAGTTCCATCAGAAACCGTGGCCATGCCTCGTGTGAGACTCATGACCCGGGACCGAGGAGCAGAACCCCATCGCCAAAGAGCCACTGACCGCGCCCTGAAAGCCATGATAACAGCTTTTTAGCCAGGACGACTCTACACCAGAACAGTAAACTGCATTGAGGCCATGGAAAAATACTGGCGGCGATCCGGGTCACGTGGAGGATATTTTCTTATTACCATTTATTTCCGAAGGCGGTGAAAGGCGGAAGTAATGCAAATAAGCAATATTGCCCGTGATTTGCGCAATCAACTAGTTGCGGGGCTGCTTTCTCATGCCCCGCAGGACTTTAGATGGGTTTTCTATCTTCTATATCTTCGCGCTGATAGGATAAGAGATACTTGTTGAGCCCGTTGACCTGTTGACTCTTATCTGAACGCAAAAGATACTCTGTTCGGCGGTCGTGCAGGAAAACATTGCACCATGAAGGCTTACTGGTATGACAACAAACCGGTAGGTTTCATTATCCGAGACTATGACTCCCTCTCTTATCAGGCAGAGACTGAGATTGGAATAGGGCGACCAGAGGGAACCCCATGACTCCGGGCGTCCGGTGACAGTGGACTACCTCGCCTCCATTGGAGTCCAATACTACCATTTCCCCTCCCTCGAGTCTGTCAACGAATTGGCCAAGGAACGTGGATATAAGAATCGCGATGAGATTGTCGTTTCGCCACAGACGATGGGCGATGTGTACGAGGAGAAGGTGAAGATGTTCTTCAATGAGCATCTGCACGAAGACGAGGAGATCCGCTACATCCGTGATGGCGAGGGTTATTTTGACGTGCGTGGCCAGGAGGACGAATGGGTTCGGATCAAGTTGGCGAAGGATGACTTGATCATTCTCCCCGCTGGTATCTACCATCGTTTTACCACCGATGACAAGAATGTTGGTCTCCTTGAGCTTATGCTGTCTACACTTTGATACCAACTTGCTGACTGCTTCGTTCACAGTATGTCAAGGCTATGCGCCTTTTCCAGGAAGAGCCTAAGTGGACACCCTTGAACCGTGGCCCTGATGTCGATGAAAACTCTCATCGGCAGTCTTACCTCCGCACAGTCCAGAACAAGGCCGTTGCTTAGGACTTTTGCTTTCCATTGGTGACTAATGCTAATTGCCAACATGGGCAAGAGGCATGGTTGATTGAAGGGGGGAAGACTACCGCTCGCCACGCGATCTGGTGCTTTTAGCTCCAAACTGATGATTTTGTATATATCATAGCAATTCGATAAATCACGACACTTTTCACGTACAACGACTATGAAATTCCCAGGCGCTTATGAAAAACATGTCATTTTTATGTCTTTTGATATACTAGTCAAAATATTGACTCAAGTTGTAGTTACACCGCCTCCTGGCAGAGAGCCAGGCATGTGGAATTGATCGCTCAAGTTACCACTGCTCTCTTCCCGCGTCATGCTGCGACTACGGAGGTCGCCAGTTTCAATATTGAAGCTGCTCGTTCGAGAAGCAAGGTCAAACGGCGGCCGTGTGCCCAATAGTGCCCCAAACCTGAGCACCTCTGGCTCGCGAGACGACTCCTCGTGACGGGCAGACACGCTCGCATCCGCCGCTGTGCTACTCCGCGGCGCATTAGAGCCAGTTTCCGAATCATCGCCGGTCCTTACGCCTGTTCTGCCCATGCGAGGCCAGAGGTCCGGCAGTCCCACGACCTGGACCCGAGGTTCAACAACGCGCTCCTCAAACCATGCATGAACACGGGCTTCGACCAGCTGAGCGACTTTAGGCACGTCCTGGAGTCTGCTACGAGAGCCGATCAACGACCGTACGGAGAGATCAAGTCGATAGTCTGGAAGAAAGGAGAACGCAACGTTGCTTTTTGGACTGGTTTTCGGCGGATTTTCACCACTGGGTTCCTCAGAGGAGCCACCTGCGCGAGAGTGACTTCCACCAGTCTGTCCTTCGCGCTTTGAGCGTCCATTCGTTGTTGTCTCGGCGGTAGGGGGAGATGGCGAATGGGATGGAGTGTCAAGTGGAGATGTGGAAGCGGGGACGAGTGATATGCAAAGGGTCCCGGAGAAGCGGACAACAGAGATGGAGAGTGCCACGGGAAGGATGGCAGAGCATGGCTTCGGATAATTGAGAAGTAGCTGCGTCTCGATGGCGATGGAGAGGTTGTCATCGCTCAGGTCGACGTCCATCAGTGCCTGAAGGCGCCCGCCATCAGAATTTGGGTCATCAACAGCAATGATCCGACAATTGCTGAAGATAGGAAACTCCTCCCCCAGAGATATGTCCGTCACAGTAATTTTATCTATAAATGATGGCTTCTTTTCGGGGTTATTCAGGGCCGCCGTTAGCGAGCTGAGGATTGATGATGTCGGCGAGTCCTTCAACAGATATGCCGTTTGTCTGTACTGAGCAATTGTCTGAGCTATGAGAACATTGAACCAGTCCAGTGATTCTGGCTGGTGTGAAGAATGGTGTATCCTGTGTCGTCCATGTTTCGAGGGATTGGTGGGGATTGCACTGTAGTAGGTCTTTCGCAGGATGGAGCGGGTGTTGGTCGCGGAGGACGGTACCGGACGGAGGACGTTCGAGTTAGAAGGCTTTTCTCTCAATGTTCTTGTGCTTCCATCGTGCTGTGCGCTGCTGTAAATCGAACTGGAACGTCGATGAGTAGTCGAACGATGAGAGAGGCCGCGAGACGGCGGAGGCGCTGCTTCGCCGAAGATGAAGAACTTGAGGAAGGCAGCAATGAGAAGAACGACGGAGAGCTGTCCCAGCAAGAACCCTTGTGTAAATGATAATCTACACCCACTTTATCAGCTATTCAAAGCCTTAACCAATAAGGGACAGTGATCTTGACGTACGAGGACTGAGGAGGGATAGGCGTAGGGTCGTCTAGTTCAGTGTTGTCAGCCTTGGTTCCAGCTTCAACAAGGACCGGAATCAATCGCACTTAGCTGAGAAGACATTTTCAGCTGCTGTGTATGTTATCTGGTGTTTTCCATAGCCCCATTGCTACAACAAGCGACACTGCAATTGAAGATTTCCAACGGGTTGGAAGATCAAGATCAAGGTCAAAAAAGAATGACGAATGACGAATGATGGACCCTGTCGGCCTCGGCCAAGGCTAGTCTAAGACGGAGAGCTGCTTATCACATCCATATCGCTATTGGACTCCAACATGACCCATGAGCTCACGCCGCTGTGTGAGGACACGTTGAGCTTTCGCATTCACACATGTTCGATCGTTAACAATCTGTATATATTACCAGCTGGCTGGTTCTGCCTCTCTTTGTGCTCATAATTGATATGCCCGCAGACTGAGTCCTGCGCTTACAAATACTCCAAACTGAACGGGAATATTTGTCTCGCACAATGTACTATCCGAGCATTAACTCATTGCTACTATGGCTTCTATGCTTTGCTCCCCTGGGGCTAGCATATGGCAGATCTTCGGAATCACCCCCTGGGCCAAATGCCATACTCCTCTCGCGAGTACAGTCGCTGACGCTCCGCGCCAATCGTCTCACATCCTCTCGCCGTGTTTCCCCGATTCCACAGTTGACATGCGTGGGACCCTCAAAGAGCATCTGTGACAAGTACAAGATAGAGACTATGCGATGCACGAACGCTGGATACGACTACGACGAAGAAGATGTCCAATGGACTTGCACTGCGCCACTTCCGGAGGAGTTCATGTTGGGCGCAACAGATGTGATCTGCGAGGGATACCGAAATGCCGATGACAAGTGGGTGTTGAAGGGTAGCTGTGGTGTCGAGTACCGGCTACTGTTGACGGAGCGCGGAGAGAGGCGGTTTGGCAAAATACAAGAGGATGATCTGCGGTCCATTCCGCGTGCGACAAAAGGGTGGCGCCGTGGCATTGACGCTCTCGTCGACATGATTTTCTTAGGATTCTGGGCTGCGGTTCTCGTTATGATTCTATGGCCTATGGTACGCTCCTGTTTTGGGCTGCGAAGTCGTCGAAGAAGGCCCAATGTTGGGCGAGGTTGGGGCGGATTTTGGGGAGGAGGTGGGGGAGGTGGTGGCGGAAGAGGAGATGACTATGGGCCTTACCCTGGGCCACCTCCTCCATACAGCAGCTTTCCAGATAGTAGTTCATGTTCATCGCAGCCAGGGTGGAGACCGGGCTTTTGGACCGGTGCTGCGGCTGGCGGCGTGGCTGGCTACGAGATGGGTAGGAGAAGCAATCGGCATAGCGACAGACCGTCATCTTCTAGAAGATGGGATGACCAAGAGCCTCGGAGGGAAAGCAGCACACGGCCGCGTTCCCCTCCTCGGTTTTCGGCTACCACGGAGAGTACGGGGTTCGGCTCAACAAGACGAAGATAATGCTTAGAATAGCGGACATTAGAATTGATTTGTTCGCCCCCTAATTCCGCAAACTGTAGTAACCTACCTAGACGCTGCATGACGAAGCTAGCATGTGTAAGACAACCTAGTTATGACATTACGCTCCCATAAAGCGAGAAGCAACACCGATAAGAGCCACTCAGGTAGACCGCAGAAAAGGCACCAGGCCGTGATCGTGGTCCCATCTCAAAGCCGCGCGACACAGTAACAGTCCTAAACGCCCACCCCCGCGAATTTCTATCTAACTCCGAGCCACCAAAGCGCTTAAATAATCAAGGAAAGTCATCAATCGTGCCAATAACTTCTTCAGTTCCGCCTCCCATAGCTTTCATTGCCTGTCTTTTGTTGTTTCGTTTGCCCTTTACGGGCACGTTATTGGCGTTATCCAGCCCTGGTGCAGTACCACCATCAGTCGTGCCGTCTGGATTGCGAAGCAAATCCTCCTGAGCCTGCTTTTCCTTTGCGTGTTGTTCCTCAATCCGTTTCTTCTCTTCATCCAATTCTTGCTGAACCACTCTGGGGTCATCGTACACAGTGTTGGTCATTTCCGAATACGTCGTGATATCAATCGTTTCCCGGGGGCCCAACAGCGTTTCCTTAATTCGTTCTGGAGCGCGCCGCTCCTCGTTGTTGAATTTCAGCTTGATCTGACGTCTCGACCTCCCAGGGAACAGCTTGCTGATCATCATGAAATCGGTGCCAAACATTCGCAAGCCTCTGTAAAATAGATCCGTCATCTCTTCATCCCATGATTCTGTCTTGGACCGTTTTCCCCATGTGGCTTGGTTGATCTTCCGAGTAAGAGAGCTTTCCACCACATCCTCTAGCTCCCCCGCATTTCTCGCCGCATCTGCATAACGATCGACCTGAAGGGAAGCGGCATCAAGCACAATCTCTCCATTCACGATTCGCATCACAGGACCGGCCTGTGGTTTCTTGTCGACAGCGATATCGGGTTCCGCTGCGGGGGATGCAACATCCGCGTTCGGTTTGAGAGGGACTGGCGTTTGGCTCTCATCCTCTTGTTGAGCTCGCTTGCGTTCCTGCTCAGCGAGTTCCATGTTGCGCAATTCAGTTTCCCGCCTAGACATTTTCCCGGTTCGTAAATCCTTGCACAATTCCGACATTTTGACTACTGCTGGAGCGATTTCAATGAGATCCGCTCCTTCCGGTGTCGGCTCGCGCTTTTTGCGAGAGCGCTGTTGCTTCCTCGTCACCTTGCCCGCGGCATCCTCAACATTGGAGATGCGGCTCGCCCTTCTGACTCGCGACTTCGACGCTCTTCGACTCTGGTCGGCGTTTGCTTGCGATTCAACTCCGTCGGTAACTTCTGTAGTTTCTTCAACCGTCGGGGGTTGGGTAGATGGCGGAGTAATTACATGGGATGGTGAAAGAGTAGGACGGGTGGATGTTGTGGACGATTCTTGAGTCAGCTTCAAGCGCTTCGATGGGCGGATCTCTGTAGCGGTCTCAACGGGTGGAAGGTTCTGAGAACTAGCCACAGGTGTCGAGGCGTCATCGCGGCTCACAAGGTTTTGGGGAACTTCGATACTTTGAACAATTTCTCTTTGCTTCTCAGGTCCATTCGCCTCGAGATTTGTGGGAGAGCGTTCGGTATTGGTATCATGATGCGCGAGAGATTGAGATGGCGCAGGAGCTTCTTCAACAGTCACGCGCCGTGTGGGAGCCGAGAACGATGCCTTACGCTTCGAAACGGGAATGGGAATGGCTGTCACAGATTTGGATGGTATTGAATCGGGTCTCGGGGCCCTCGACGACTCGGCGACAGGTAATTGAACATCAGCGGCAGATGGGACGGAAGGCTCCGGGACCGTAGCAGGAGGCGCGGGCTCGGCAGGAGCTTTATCTAACGCCGGTTGAGCGTTTTGAGTAGTAGATGTTTGTGAAGCGGTACTATGTCTTCGCGGAGGTGCTGGGGTGGTAGAGGGAGCCGGAGGGGCGCGTCGGACGGGCGCCTTTGGAGCAAATTTCTTGCCCGACTTATCTGAAGACGGAAGCGGTCAGACGATGCAGCACGTTGTAGAATGGCAGGATTCAACACTTACTGATGACAGAACTCGAAAAAGATTTCATCCTCACAGCTCAGCATAGCTGGATAGGAAAAGAGCCATCAAATTCCAGGCCGATAACAGAACCGATGCGGTGGATGGATGGTCCAGCGAATATACGTAGAGGGTGACATGCAGAAGTCTAGATGCCGGGTGTTCGTCTGAACTCTGGGGGAAAGTGGGCTCGGTCACGTGGGAGGCGCTAGGCGACGCTAAACCTCCCAGGCCGAAAATCCTCCTGGCTTCCCAAGTCCTGCTTATCACAACCATCTGCACGGCTGCGCCCTTCAACGTCACTCAGAATTTGTTGTGACCTACACGGGCGGGTACTGCTGCAGTTATTGCTCCAGGCCAGTTGCTGTTCAGTGGTGACGGCCTTCATCAACTTATGTCTTTCTAGCCACTGATGCCGGCCACCGAAGCATCTCCCGTCGCATGTTCCGAGTCCGGTATCGTCAAGATGGAAGACCGGAAGAGACCTGCTACTCATGATCCCAATGATTCTACCCCACCATTGAAGAAGCAAGCTACTTCTGTCAATGGTGGTAGTAGACCGCACCCAGATGCCGATATGCCTTGGAAAGACGACCTAGACGTGAGTTGCCAACGTTTGTTACTGAACCTTCAGTTTGTAGCAGGGGGGGTCTTTTCTTTCGATCCACTTAGACTTCAGCTGAAGATTAAAATGAGATTGATGCTGACTTACTCTCCGTGGCAGCGATTCCAAAAAGATGCGATATGGCGGCAGATGCAAGAGTATAAACGTGAGAAGATGTCTCTGGAGACGAAACTCAAGGAGATGTCGAAAGCTACGGCCTATCATAATGACCATTTACGTGTAATTGATGCCTGGTTCAATCAGGTAAGTATCCTCGTGCATCTTCCTTGCAGCGGCAGAGTCTCACAGCTCTTGTGATAGTTAATTGATGAGGTCAAAACTCTCATGGGCGCGTCGGATGAAGATAAAGGTAGGCATTAACTTGGCTAGATCATCATTTTGAGGTCGGCTCGCTAATATTCTTCTAGATCGGCCTTCGTTTCGAAGCTCGCTGTTATTCGAAAATATGCAAGACTTTGAGAAGCATCTCAAATCCCGGTCAGATGATATACGTGCCATTATTACTCGGTTGCAATCGTTCTCCACAAACGCCCCTCCAGAGGTTACAGATTTGCAGTCCCAACTTGCGAAAAAACTGGCCGAAGAAAAAGGCACTATTGCCGAACTTGAGAAAGCTTTGGCCGAGAAACAGCAACTGGAAGAAAGCCTGGAGGCAGCGTCATTACGGTACATGGTGGCTGAGAAGAAGCTCGACCGGGCACGAAGCGTGACTGTCGCAAAATTAGAGAAGCAATATCTCCTGGGTGGTCAGCGACCTGGCGGCGATAGTGCGTCTGGAAATCGGGAAGAACAGTCACCTGTCAACGGTGTGCCCTCGAGCGTCGAACGCAACTCCGAGTTGGAAGAAGCGCATAAACAGCTTGTGGCTGTTTCGGAGAAGCAAAAAGAACAGTTGCAAAAACTGGAAGCTGAGAATGCAAATTTACTGAGCCAGATCACGGAATTGAATATCAAGGTAAGGCGCTGATGGTCAGCTGTGCGAACTGCTGCTAACTGGATGTTGATGTAGCGCACGAAGCCCACCGACGATGATTATGCGCATACGGACTTGTTCAAGCAACTACGATCCCAATACGACGACGTTGTAAAACGAATCAACCACCTGGAAGCAACAAACATACAACTACGTGAAGAGGCTGCAAAGTTACGATCGGAACGGACTGCATATCGCAACCAGGTGGACGAGGAAACCCAGAACGTTATTGCCGAGAAGGAAGCGCAGTTGATGCGAGCTGAGACTGACTTAGCCCGAATTCGGAACGCCCGTGACGAGCTCTTGGCTGATCAGCAGATGCGCAAGGCCGCGCAAGAACAGGAGAAAATTGCTACAACTAAGGTTCAAGAACTTGCGGATGCTGCGCAGGCCCGGATTAATGCCCTGGAATCTGAGGTAGAAAGGCTCCGCTTGCAGCTTGACAACACGAAAGCCGCGCATACAGAGATCGACGATATTCCGTTGGAAGAACTTCGTGCGAAGTATCAGAATTTGGAGCGCCAGTATTCCATGCTCAACACTGAGTTGACGTCGATGCAGACCGCCTGCAAAAAGTACTCTTCATTAGCTTCGCAAAAGGTTGCAGATTTCAGCGCTTTAGAAGAGAAGGTCGCCCGATTGACTGCTGAAAAGTCGAAAGCGGACCAAAAGTATTTCGCTGCAATGAAAAGCAAGGAAGCACGAGAGTTGGAAGTTCGAACTTTAAGAATGCAGAACTCGAAGAGCTCAGATATTGTCTCGCAACTAAAGGAATCGGAGGCAACCACTCGCTCTCTATTGGCCAATATGGAGAAGCAGGCTAGTGAGACGAAGGAAGCATTGAATTCGATCATCAGCAAGCATCATTTGGCTCAACAGCAAATCGCGGAGAATAACATTGTTATCGACGGTCTCAAAGCCCAGCTCAATGAGCTCAAAGCCCTCTCGGTGTCGAAGGATTCGTCATTGGCGAGCGCTTCAAGCGCCTGTCGTAAGGCCGAGACTGAGATTGAAAGCCTGAAAGTCACCCTTGCCGATACCAAGAAGAGCCTTGAGAATTGGAAGAACAAGAGTTTGGGCAATTCATCGTCGGAGTATGAGATGTTGAGGGTAAGTCTTTCCGGCCCATGTATAAGGGGGACTGATACTAATTAATTGCCATTCCAGAGTCTTGCACTTTGTACTGTCTGCCGCAGGAATTTCAAGAATACTGCAATCAAGACGTGCGGTCACGTATTCTGTAAAGAATGCGTGGAAGAAAGACTTACTTCTCGCTCTCGAAAGTGTCCAAATTGCAATAGATCATTCGGAAATAATGATCATAT